GACTACTCCGGGCTCGGCCAACTTGTGAGTGGGCGTGGCTAGTCCCTGTGAGCCTGTCCATCATCCATCCCAAACGGTTGCTTGCTTTGGCAACGTGTCTGTCTCAGGGGCTGGGAGCAAAGCCCCTGCCTTCTGGCATTCACATGCATTTGAAGGACTTACATACACCTGAGAGTGCTTGGGCACCCTCTCCATCTCCCCCAACTCAACCGGCATCCAGTCGATTCCGATTCATAGCCCCCCTATGGGACTGGGTAGAATGGCCCTGGTAGGTTTCCAAGACCGGAACTCCAGACGGGAGTAAGCAAGCCTCCTCTTTCCCCGGTGGAGTGGCTGGTGGTTTCAAACCGCTGTCCTTGCAGTGAGGAGCCGGGTGCGTAACTCAACGGTGCCACCAGGCCCTCCCATCTCAGTAGATGTGAGTAATTCGTGGATGCACTAAGCAAACGGTGCTTGGCCCCTGTGGTAGGCTCTGGGGCTATAGAGGCCATGAAACTGAGCCCATCCTGGCCTTCGTGTACAGATACTAAGGATTTTAGTAGGTGTGGCCAGTATTGGAGCTACTTGAATAAATTATAAGGGGCCTCCATGATAAGTCACGTGAGTCCTAGTGAGAAGAATGTGTTGGCTCGGGCTGCTCATACATGGGTGGCTGTGAGGAGCTTGTAGGCGGGGACCCCTGAGTAGGTGTGTGGCTTCGACTGGAGGAAAACCTCTGAGTGAGTGATTGTGTTGTTTTTGTCGTTGTTAGGTGCCGATTCATCGCGACTGTACAGCCGATCAAAACAAATCACTGCCTGGTCCTGAACCCTTGTCACAGTGTTTGAACCCATTGTGGCGGCCACCGTGTCAAGCCTCCTTCTTGGGGGTCGTCATCATCTTCTTCTTATTATTTTTTATGGGGTGGGGGCTTTTATCAAACGTTTACCAAACCTGATGTCCTCCCTCGGGGACGGGACCCTCCTGGTAACATGTCCGAGGTCCATGAGACAAAGTCTCGTCATCCTTCCTTCTAAGGAGCATGCCCGCTGTGCTTTCTCCAAGACAGGTGGATTCTCTCTCCAGGCAGTGCCCGGGGACTCAGTATGCGTGAAGACTCAGTGTGCTTCACCAGCACCAGCTCGAAGGTCCATCCGTCCATCCGTCCATCCTCCTTATTCGCCGTCCAGTTGCCTTGAGCAAAGAGGGTCTGCAAAAAAAACAACAACCCACTGTTCACGCCAGGGTGGAGGCACCGGCCGACAGGCCTAGCAGCCAGAGGAACAGGTGTGGGCAGGAATGGAGGAGAAGGGGCAGGGTCTGGAATTCCCGGGTTGTGCGGAAGACCTCCGGAACCAGAACTGAAGAAAAGCCAGTAGCTCCGAAGAAAGAACGCGATCAGGTGGACCGAGGCCTGCTTGGGAGAAGAGCCCTGACACCCCACCCCACTCCCACCCATGGCCATCACCTGATTTGGGAGACAGGTGAAGCCGGGTCGTTGCAAAGCCTAGAGCTGTGTTCCGCCTGTGGGAGCGATGGACTTTGAATCCACCCCTGTGGCACACTTGGCTGGAGGGGGCCACCCCAGGCGGCAGTGCCAAGCAACACACATGGCCGACTCGGGAGCTGCCTGCTGGCATGTCCGGGGGCACACTACTCTGGGTGTGACGTTCCAAAGCGGTTGTTCTCCACCTGGGATTGAAACTGGAACCAGCTGGTTCCTGCTTCCTGTCCCCGCTGAGCCAAAGAACAGAGGGCCAGGATGGACCCGTCTCAGATGCCAGCACTCTGAGAAGGTGGTGGGTAAAGACCCTAAGAAATGACCTTAGCAGGTCACCTCAAGGTGACAGGTCTTACGGAGGAGAGAAGGGGGTGAAAATCACAGCGGGGCTGACGCCATCTTTTTTAGGTGTAGGGAGGAGGCCGAACTGCCTTCAATGTGCTTGAAGGTCTGGGTGTGTTTATCCTCCCTACTGACCACCGTCTCCACAATTCAGGTGTTCTCTGTACCTGTCAGGTACAGGTGGTGGCCTGGCTTCACGTTGTATCTGCGAGGATGCCTTCAAGGCTTTTGAAGAGCCAGCTGAACCGATCTGGTTGATTCCCGTTCCTCTGGGTGGATATTAAGAAAAGGTACGTTAGAGGGAATAGTTAGGAGGACGTCTTACAGACCCGTCCAGGGATGGCCAGACTTGGGACTCTACCCTGGGACTTTTTCTGTGGGTTTCCCTAGGAGGAGGGTGTGAGTGCCGCCCTCCCTGAGAAAACCCAGAAGCTCTGGGCAGGGCAAGGGAAGACAAGGCTCTACTTCCTAACGAGCCAAGGGCAAGACTTCCAGGGAATGGTCCCCAAAGAGGGAAATCATGAAGCATTCATCTCCCAGAGTAACTGATGAGCAACATCCACGAACGTCCAGTTCCCAACGCCATCAGCGGAATACTTTGGGTCGTGGTGGGGAAAAAGAAATCAGTATTGGGTATTGGGTAGACAGATCTCTCATGGGGGGCTGGGGAGAGAGCTGGGTGTCCATCTGACTTGTGAATTCAAAACGGTTTACGTTCATGCTGGGATCTGCCAGGGTCTGAGTTGAATTTCTTGCCCAAGGGTGTAAGATACATGCGATTGCTTGACCCCTGTTTTGCACCTCTCTTAGAGCCTTGAGGACACGCTGGGTTAGAATGTTGAGCCTTTTAAACGGCAAGGTCGGTGGTTCAAGCCCGTTGCTCCCAGAAATAGGAGGCTGGCTCTGCTCCCACGACGGCGACTTAGTCTGTTGTTTGAAGTCTGGAACGACCCCAGAGGGTGGAGTTGAACTGCCCCTGTGACTTTCTGAGACTGTAACTCTACATTAGTAGGAAACCTTGTTTTTCTCTCTAGGAGCAGCCCGTCGTTTCCAAGGGCTGTCCTTTCGGGTCACAGCCCCATAGCGTAACTGCTCCACCACATGGAAATCCTATGGGCCAGTTCTAGTCTGGCCTGTTGGGTTGCTGTGGCAGCAGGTTTGGGTTGTTGGTGGTGGTGTTTTAGCACCAGAATGTGGAGGGAGTGTCTCTTTCGCTTCCTGTCCCCTCTGACATCCAAGAAACAGGCACATGGAACCCGTCCCCAGGAAGTCACAAACCCCTGAGCGGAGCTTTTGAGAACTCACTTGCGTTGACAAATGAATTGCCTGTCACCGACCTATAAAACCTTGTAGACTGATTTCTCTCTGTTCCCCACATTGGTTCTGTGGCATCTGCGCCCCCCACCCACCCCACCCCCTCCCCACACACAGCCAGACTCACACTTCTGCCATCACCACACAGACATGTCCACCCTTGTCGGAAGTACGCGTGCGCTGGAGAAGTTTGTAGCTTTCAATGATCTTGGTGTCTCTTGTCAATTCCCACCTGGCCACATCGACTGGGTGCATTTTGTTTGACTGCATTCGTCCTCCGACCCCCCGAGGTGAGTTTGAAGGAACCCCACCCACCCCCACCCTTCAGGCCCATGGGTGGGAGCATACTCTCTCATCTCACAAGGACTGTCCTGTGGTGCTCGCTGTGGGTCTCCGGTGTGCCCCGTGCAATGCCCGTGTTTGTGATTTGCAAAGTAGCCCACTGTTCTTCCATGACGCCCAGGAGACCACGCTCCCTCCACCACTTCTCCTGCAAGTTTCCTCGGACCAGTCGAAGGGGTTCCTGGGATGGCAGTGCCAGCTGTTGATGAGATCTGTCCCCCCTGGAAGCTGCTTATCTGTGTGACTCAACACCCCGCTAACACAGCCCAGCCCCCACAGCGCTCGGCCAAGGAGCTGGCTGTAGTTGGCGGCTGATGGCGGGCGTCACTGGCCTTTGTAAACCCCCCGTTTCAAAAGCGAGTTCGATGTAAAAACCCTTCCGTGTTCTTTGTGGCTGATGCTGCTGATGTACAGCCGTGAACTTAGCCAATAAAGGTATGCCAACGACAAGAGGCCTGGTCTTGGATAGCCCGCAGGCGCCCATGTGGGGAACAGAGCTGGTGGCTGACGAGTTTGGGAGACCACTTCCTTATGGGCTACCTGAAGTTTTCCAGAGTTCTTTTTATTGATGATGATGATGATGATGATGATGTTGTCACGGAAGAATCCATGTCCTCTTCTGTTTTACTGCTCCTCCTTTTATAGCAGTGGTTCTCAACCTTCCTAATGCCACCTTTTCAGACAGCTCCTCATGTGGTGGGGACCCCCAACCATCAAATTATTTTTGTGGCTACTTCATCACTGCCCTTTTGCTACTGTTGTGAATCAGGCCACCTCTGCCAAAGGGTCGGTCGACCCCCCAAAGGGGTCTCGACCCACAGGTTGAGAACCGCTGTTTTATAGCCACTCAGATCATTGGTTAGCTCTGAGGGCTAAGGAATTCGACGGGCCTTTGAAAGCTGTGACCTTCCACACACGGTCTCTTTCTCTTTTAATTAACTTTATGGACTTTGATTTTTAAAGAAAAACATTCCGTGTAGTCTCCCAGCCCTTGTCATCAAATCAGAGCAGTCACAGTTAAAGCCCTTTAAATCCCCCATGAATAGCTTGGGTTTGGGTCCCCTCCCCCACTTCCTCCCTCCACAATTTTCTGTCCCTCCCCTTCCCTTGCCCTGGCCTGACCCCTGACCTCCTCATAGTCTTCCAAGGCGTATCCTTTAGGGTGAAAACTACTTTTCTTTTTCTTGATTGTTAATCCTGCATGGTTTTTAAAAGGAGTGCCCCCGGAGTGGCGGAGATGGCTAAGCAGACAACTACTAACTGAAAGGTATTAGGCTTGCCGTAAAGGTAAACTGAGGCCAGGCCAGAGAGGGGGAGAAGGAGAAGTTTATTCTGTGCTCCCCGTGTGAGATTCACGGGCTCCAGCTGCCTGGGAGGGAGGGGAGAGTAGAGAAAGAGAGACATGGACAGACAGACACAGCGCCCTGAGCTCCTGGACAAGGTTCAGGACCCCCAGCGTCCATCTGCGGTGGAGAGCAAGTTTTTAAGCTGGTCAGGAAGGTAAAGGGGAGGAGAGGTAGGAGCTGCAGCTGAAGGGGCTTAAGCCGGCTCCATCCGTGAAATCCCGAGGTAGAATGGTGTCTTGATCGTTCGATTCCGCCTTATACGGAGGAGATGGCTCATTGTCCGGGGACCCTTTTGACGTTAGCTGTGTTGGTCCGATAAGGGCAGGTCAGCCTGTTCCTAAAGCCCCCACCCGTGCCCGACCCAACAGAAGGTTGGCAGTTCAAACCCACCTAGAAGGGCCTCCGAAGTGAGACCTGGAGATCTGCTTCCGAAGGGCTACCAAGCGGATAATGATCCTGTGTAGCGTTTCCTAGACTGCAACTCTTCCTGGGAGCAAGCACGCCGTTTCTTCTTTCTCTCAGGGAGTGGCTGGTGGGATCAAAACGCCAATCTTGCCGTGAGTAGTACAACAGCTAAACCCCAGCACCACCAGAATGCCTTTCTTTGAAAAGCCCTCTGGGGCGTTTTGACTCAAACCCCTTTGGGGTCCCCAGGAATTGGAGTCAGCCGGCTTGTTTTATTTTAAATCCGTGCTCCGTTGCCAAAGAAGCCACAACCCACAGAGCTTTTTCCTATCCTGTGGGCTTCCCAGCGTCTGAGGCTGACTTAAGGGAAATCATTTACCTGGTATAGACACAACGGTGGCCGGCTCCAGGCTCTCGTGCAAAATTCTTCCCAGCATTAGCTCCTTCTGCCCCTAGGATAAGGAGCCCTGGTGGCACAGTGGTTAAGCACGTGGCTATCAACCAAAAGGTTGGCGGTTCAGCCCCATGAGAGATTCCATGAGTTAAAGAAGGGGCAATCCTCTTTTTGCATCAAGATTACAGTCAAGAAAACCCGTTAGGATCAGGTGACCAGACCTCCTGCTTTTGGTGGGACAGTCCCGATTTTTAACAATTTGTCCTGCGTTCCGCGGCGTTTTAAAAAAGTCCCGATTTTTGGAAACAATGCACAACAAGCTAGGGTATACGGTTTTCGGCTGCCATGCAGCTATTTCGCCAGGATATGAGTTTTATCAATGGTGTCCCGCTTTACCAATGTTAAAATCTGGTCACCTGACGTTAGGAGGAGTTGAGCTAGATCACAGGAGTCACTAAAAGTCAGAATTAAGCCCTCAACACCCATCACCACCACCACCACCACCACCATATACATATCCTCATCACATACCCTG